TCTGGATCTATTACCTGCTCTGGATCCAGGAAGCACACAATCCTTGCAATCTATGCAGCAATGACATAAAATTATTAGTCAGATGTCTCTGACACGACAAGACAAATTATGTTACCTCTCATGGTATCTTCCAGAACCTGTGCACACAGCTTTCTTGTTACTGCTGTACTCGGTCCCATGGTAGGACTGCAGTTTATTTCCAGCTGAAGATGCAAACAGTGCCAATTAATAAAAGTAGGAATGTTTACTGAGTGAAATGTTATAGTCACACAAACAATGAGTGGGTTATTACCTAAGAAGAAAGCTATTCCACAGATATTTCAAAACCCTGAGTTACAACATGATCATATGAATATGATTATACTTACCAACCATGGCTTGTAGTCTTCACCAATAATGAAATCAGCGCCATATAACTCAAATGAATTCTAAACAAAGCAAAAATCTTAAACTCATGTTGTCTAAGAGACTGGTCAAGCAAGAAGTACTATTCACCCATTACACCCTAATATTAATATTCATATTCTCCACACTGATCTCTATAAATTTCCTGTTCTAATGACAAGGAGAATTTGTGTGGCAATTAGGTGCTTCTTAAATTGGTGATCATTCTTCTATTCTTATGACTACATTTAATTCAAGGGTGAAACTGAAAGGAGTAATTAGAAGCCAGTCCCTCCTCATGGTTAAATTAGGGTTTAGTCTTGCAGTAAGTGCAATATTTGCAAACAGAGCATTAGCAAAGTCATCATCGCTAACTTGTTGATGACCTGGGTGGTAAAGTCTCTGTTGTTCCAGGCAAGGTCACAAATGATTGCAAGTGCAATGGAATCAAAGAACCAGGGAATGTGGAAAAAGGTGTGGTCATTGTACCAGAGTACATTCTACAGAGATCTCAGTTATATCATGTTTAGCCAAGATACAGTGTTGTTGCTTACTATGTTTGTGTTATAACAAACATCACTTTACCTTTCGATATTCCACTATCTCCTGACAGGACTGCACAGCAGAAATAACAGCTTTCTTCATTCCAGGATAAATTGATTCTTCCCACATTTCACCAACACCACGCTTCCTACGATGACGGTGTGGATAAATTTGTAAGTACTTAACAACTTTTTTAGTTGGAACATCAAACAGATTTTGATGGACCCTAATCAAACACAATAATAATCATAACATGGCTGGAAAATTTATTGAATCAAATTCAGTTGCATGTAAATCTATGCTGCCTGATGAGGCATGTGTTCCAATGGAAAATAAACAGGGAATTCCTCTGCTTAAAAATGTAATTAATCTCTAAAAGTAATTTACTCTAACATTGGTATGTATATTCTCCATACTGTTCTCTAAACATTTCCTAATAAGGTGCTGATAAGGAGAATTTGTTTAGCAATCATTAGTTTCTATGGTTGCTGATCGTTTCCTAAATATTCTTGTGACCTTATTGTGATTCAGCAGTATTACTGTAAAGAGAAACTAGCTGCTGCAGGCCGTGAAATTTTGCCTAATGCAGGTGCCAGTGCAACTAAATTTTTCACTTTGGTGACTAAATCCTGAAAATTAGTTGCCAAATTGGCGACTAGAACATTTCATCATAACCTTACCTTGAGATATTGTGAATTAAAAAGATTTGCAAAGATAAATCTGTGGCAAACTTCCATGTTAAGTTTATATCCAAAATGCAGCACATGCATCTCGATCAATAACTAGATGCAATCTTTGCTTTCTTTGCTTTAGGTGAGCTTGAACATTGTATATCATCTATCCTAGTGTCCACTTTGTTGCACGTAAAAGATCTTTTCCCTAACTTAATTTTGGAGGGTCTATCTGGAACGCTGACAGCGTAACAAAAGGTTTTGTTTGTCTTTGAAAATGGCGACCAACTTTTTTTAAATTGGCATCAGAAAAAAAAAATTAATTTCACGCCTTGTGCTGGTCACTCTTAGGGTTTAAAAGGTTATTATGTCAATCAGTGATTGGTTCACATATCAGCTATGAGATCATTAAGATATGAAACATTAGCTGAGAAGTTTGAAGAGCACTCAAGAGACTGTAATTGCTCTCAGCTACACCTCAAGCAATTCCTTCTTCACCTTTCATGCTGTCAAACCTTTGCACATACACTGTACTTCATATCTCCATGAATGCAAACTAATGTTTGAATCAATTATTAATTTTTACTTACTTGAGATAAGCCTTCAAGTCATCGCTGCCCCACATATTCTCATCTGGAATACGCTTGTCGCGAACTCCATTCTCAAAGTGCTTTTGGATGGAATTGTTGGCAAGATGTATGCTTCTGATTATTTTAAAGATATAAACAGTTCAGTATTTTGATTGTTGGCAAGGTGTATGTTTCTGATTATTTTAAAGATATGAACAGTTCAGTATTTTGATCAACACATTTTCTGAGTCAAGTTGAATTATTGATTCATCTACTTACATGTGAAAGTCTTCCAGAGAAAAGTTCTGACTGCAGAATCGTATGTAACAATCCTGAGAATACAGAAACACCATTGTTTAGTGCAGTAACTATACATGTAGCTTGTGAACCATCTCACCCCTTTCACTCCCAAGATCTCAATAGTAATTCTCCTTACAGTCTGCCATAAAATTCTTATAATGTTAGTTTGGATAATTTGGTAGAGAGATCAGCTAATAATCCCCTAATTGATATTTTCCTTTATTTGCATCACTTGTCTGCTAGATACTGTATTGATATTGTAAAGAGAAATTCTGTCTTGGTCACTCTTGAGAGTTAAAGGGGTAAAAGTCTAAACTGAATCTGAAGCGTGATAGTAGCCAACATTAAAGGCTTGAAAAATGGAGTGACAAAAAGACCCAATGTCAAACTCATCTATTAGGACATTCCATCACTTACATGATTTGAGTAACTGACAAGTGCAGAGTTGTTACACGAGTGTAAATTACAAATAGCTTGCGCACACCTTCAAAATTTTGACTGTCTTAACTCTCTGTGATGTTTTTTCATGTACATTATTAACAAGTAATAACATGATTTCTCTTACAATTTGGTGTAATAAGAACTTGGAAAGACTACAAATTGCATTTGCCCGATGGGCTTATGCAATTTTGTTGTCTTTGAAAAATTTACTTGTGCTTATTAACAACAAACTGCACTCAAAATCGTGTTATTACCTATACCTAAATATCTAGGAATCAAAATGAAATTTTTCTGTCCATACCTTGTAGAACCACAAAGTCAAAGGATTCCAGTCAGTAACAAGAAACCACTGTCTGATGTCAAACTTCACTCCATAAATCAGCAGTGGCCTTTCTGTAAAAAACGCAAATCACATTAGAACCATAAATATTTAAAACTTTGGAGGATTAAAGCCCATTAATAGAGGCTCAACCTTATTAAATGATAAAAAATATAAAAGGTTCTGTTATATGCCACACCACAAATTTTCTTTTAAGACTCTAAAAATATGTCTCTTGATACTCTGATGGCAATCTTTTGATTGCTCTGATGAAGAGCTACAACTTGAAACATCAGCTTTGAAATTCTATACTGCAAACCAATTTACATTATCAACTCATTTGATAATACTAAATTACCCTGTTACTCTCCTCCACTGATGCAGCACTACAGTTTCTTTTGAAACTTACCCTCTTTATTCACTGGTGTCCAAAAAGATCACCAAAAAGGTCACCAAACTCATTTTTCAGTTAAAAGTACCCCAAACTGAAATCAAGGGTGTTTGCTGGAACATGTAGGTTTACCATCAATTTCTTTGGGTCTTCTTAGGATGTCTTGTGCTTTCCTGTTTTTTTTTTTTAATGTAAACCCAACGTTTAAGCCACACATTACCTATATATTTCTGGACAACCAAGTGACCTTCTTTCTTGCCTACAGCATTACTTCCAACAAGCTTGACAATTTCGTTGAGACGATCCATACACATAATCCCTTAAATGAGTAGAATGAAAAGAGCTCAGATGAGCTGTAAAGAGCCATTATAAAAAAACCTTACTTAAACGGTGCTGGCCTTGGAAAGTTAAACATTTAAAAAGACAAATTTTTGGATCAAGTGTACCATTGGTAGCCTTGGTCAATATTCATGTATTGGTTGATTTATCAATCAAAATTTGATAAATATATTGGTAGATTGGTTATTAATGGGCAGCTGATAACCTTTAGATGGTCACCTGACACTTGAACAACAGTAAGCCAATGTCTCGATGGTCAACTGATACTCTTATCAAGGCATCAGCTACATGTATCTGTTGGTTGAGGAACAGTCAACTTTAAACAGGTTACCAGTTGCCTCTCAACAAAATATTGGCCAACTGTTGACCAATTTATTGATTGCTTATTGATTGAGGTTACCTACATTAAATATGATTCAAATATTTTGGGATCCAAGTATGCTTTACCTCTGCCTCTTGATTTTGCTCCAGGTTTGACAATCCAAATGTTCTTCGTACCATCAATGTCAATTTGAGGAAGGTATTCCTTCATCTAAATAACAGTTGATTATAAATGTTTAAAATTAACAATATCAAACTATTATTTGCTATTTGTCACGAGGGAAAAGCTGATTCACATCTGATTTATTTTCATTATCTCTGTAGACTGACAGAATGTCTTTGAATACCTTAGTCTGCAAGTCTGTGATAGTCACTCCATTTTTCTACCAAACTATCACTTTCTGTTGATGCCAATACCAACCCCTTGTCCACTACATTTTAAATGATATCAAGCCCCTTGAGCTGTGCCCTTGAGCTGTGCACACACTGAATACATCATAAGTCTAACACAGGATAAACTTTGAGTAATTAATTCTATCAAATCTATAATTATTTTTGTAATCATTTTTGCTATGATATGGGTGTGAGTAAATTCACCTGCTTCACAACATTCTGACACTCTTTGAGAAAAGGATATGCTGTTGCAATAACAGTCCCAGGACTGAAAAAAAAAAAAAAGAAAAAAGAAAAAAAGAATTGCAATGTATGTCACAAATATAAGATTTAAAGACAAAGAACACACTGATTAGAAAAAGATGTTTTTGTCTTGTCACGAGTGTGGGACATAGCATCATATGCTATTTTTAGAACATTTTAAGTTTATTCTATTCTGAATTCTGAACTTCGGCCTTTACATTTTTTAGCATCACAATCACATGGTCTCAAATGAATGTACTTACCTCTTGACTTGATAATAATAGTCAACTAGTAGTTTCCACGAATCTTCTGAGATGGCTGGACCCTAAAATGATTGTCATTTAGAATAATCATTGGTAACATGTGCGAAAAATGTCTGGCCTGACAAGAGCCTGAATAAGGCCTGACATTTGAACCAGACACAGGCCTAACATCAACTGGACAAGAGCTGAACCAGACAGAGCAGTTAAGAGCCTAACAAGAACCTGACACAGAGTGGGAAACAAGGAGTAATTAACCTCACAAGAGCCAGACAAAAAATGGTACACAATGGGACACTAGCCTCACACAAGCTAGACATTAGCCTGACACTCAGCCTGACAAGAGTGGTAATTAATTCAGCCTGACAACCATTCAGAACAGGAAAATGAGCCTGACACAAGCCAGACATTTGCCTGACAGCACAAAAATAATTAGTGATGTCAGTGATAATTGCTAAAAAATCCCATCTTACATACAGTGTAGCTTGTAAAGTTGTGGGCAACTCTAGAAGCTGGGGTGAAACTCATCAAATATACTAAAACAGAAACTAACCTTACTAAGAGGCTCATCTATGTCCAAATGCTCCTTACACTTGAGGAAATCTCGGCAAGCCTGTAGTGCAAGTGTCAGGGCCTTCACAGGTACCACATTAGATGTTGCGCTGGAAGATGCTCTGGATGTAACACCAGTTCCTGCTCTGGATGTTGCTCTGGATGTCGCTCTGGATGTTGCTCTGGATGTGGCTGAATCCCTTGGTTTTGCACTAGAGGTTGTCTTAGGGGTAGCATGCCCCTGATCAGGAGGCAGAGGTTCTCTATTGGACGTGAGCTTATCGTCAGTGTTGCCATTTTCATACCTTTGAACTACCCACTTAACTATGCTTAAAGCAGCAGTCAAACGGTAATCATCTGAAAGGAGAGAACTCATCATGTTAGATTGAAGGACAACCCTCTCTGTCCTACAGTATGTATGTATTTTTTTAATACTATTTTGAACCTCTCTGACAACCCTAGAATATAATGACAATAAATGTTGTACAGAGATCACTGGGTCACACTTTTTGGACTTGTTTGCATACAAGAGATTATTCAGAAGAATTTTTTCCAAATTTTAAAGTAAAGAACAGGGAAAGTGTACAATTGTCACTACACAGACAAAATTTAATTGACACTTCCATTGGCATACCTATGAAATCCATTTTTTCATCATCTGAACCAAGCAAGTGTGAACGAGGGAAGAATGTATAGTGATCTGCCTCTTCATACCACTTCAAATTCCTCAGGTTTGTGGTGAGACCAAACTGCAAACAGGAAAGATCACATTATACACAAGTTAATAGTCTTACAGAACAACTTTCATGGAAGATGGGTACTCTATGCCACAAAAGCTTGTCCTGAGTTCCATAGCATGAAAAAAATAGATTGAAGTACAGTACTGCCATGCACTGTTCCTGGAGGTTGCCCAACCAAACACATTACAGTTATTATTATACATAACACTAACTATGAAAAATCTGATTGGTCAAAAGCACACACTTCAGTCAACATACAATAGCATGTGAAGCTGACATGAAAACCCAATATCTGCAGCAGATAGTGGGTTCTCATGTCAAGTTCAAAATCTGCCTAGTTTCCAAGCCCTGATCCATGCATTGTTCTCAAACTTTTGCAAACTCAGAGAGGTGTCTTCTGTTGCAGATTGTTTAAAAATGTGTAATAAAACAATTATTGAACTTATTCTTTGCATAATATTATGAATGATCAAACCTTGTGTCTGCATGATATCACATGCTCAACCTTATAATTATTCAATAATTGTTTGTCACACTTCAACTCAGGATTAAACTTAGACATGCTAACCATTTGATATTATGACATTTCCCACAGCCATGGAAAAGAAACCAATGCCATTTCACAGGTTGATATGTTTCTGTTGGAACAACCACCTGACTATTAATTATAAAAAATTGATGGTACTGACCTTTGTAGTGAACGAGCCAGCTTTGCTGTAATGATTCACAATTTGATCCTGAAAAAAAAAATGTACAAAATTTTGTGATTGAGACAAGTCTCAAAATATTTAGATTGTATTATACTGAGACTACCTGGCCTTCAAAAGAGAAAAGTAGTGAACCATGTACACTGCATGTATTTCATAATTAACTATAAAAGTCTTTAAGCTAGTTCCTCGTGATTTTATGATCATACTACACATGTACAGAGACATGATTTATCACTTTATTCTCAGTTTGAAACTTAAGTCTAATTAAAATGCTCTGTTTTAATTTTCCTTAATATTTTGCATCTCAATCTTGCCTTTTTTAAAAACTTGAAATCCACGTCATCCCGTCTGGTTGTCCATATAAATGAAGCCACAGCATTTCGTACAGTTCTGGACTGTGGGAATGAAATTATAGCTTTTTTTTTAGTTACTAAATGCTAGAAAAATGCATTTTTGTTAGAGAATAAATATGCTATTCAAAAGACTTCTAGGCCAAGACCCACACAGTTCATGTTACTGTGATTTGGCTAGTTATTATCAGTCTCCTTAACAACCATCCTCCCAATCACTAGGTGACTAATTATCTATGCTGTCAATCAACCATGGATCAATCAATCAATCAATCAATCAATTAAAAAATCACTTCTTGCATATATTAAAATCAGTATTTCTTCACTCAGTCAAACAATCTTAACCCTTTAACTCCCAAGATCTGATTGTTAATTCTCCCCTCTAGCTGCTACACATTTCCTTGTAAATAAGTTACAAGTTTGGTTTTAGATCAAAGTTTGAGTATTCTCACTACCTGTTTGTTGAATAGTGCACAGATATCATTGGGAGAAGTTACATGTTTATCACTTCTGGGAGTTAAAGGGTTAAAGAACTTATTTACCACAATGAGTGGTCACCTTATGTTATTTTCTACTTATTTTTTTTAATAATAAGTGTCTGTTGTGGCTCAAGTGGCCTGGCTGCACTCATTAGCTCACAGGCACAGTTTTTTCTCAGACACCCTTCATGGGCCTCCCTCACAATAAATATTAACACATATGTATATTTTGACTGATTTAATATATAAAGCTATAACTTTTACTCACCATAAGACTAAACTCACAGTCTGGGCCATTACCCTCATATCCTGCATTCCAATCTTCATTATCAGTACTGTCATTGTCGCTATCATCACAGCCACTACCATCATCATCATCATCATCATTGTTATTCTTACTGACATTAACTACTGTTCTTGTTTTAGTCTTTGATGCCCTACGTGATTTAGCTGGAAGGTTACCAGAGATCTTTGTGTTTTTCCTGGGTGATGTTTCATTGTCAGAATCATCCCCACTGTCACAAGAATCATCATCATCACTACCATCACTATCATTTTTCTTGTTTTTTGATGGTAAAAGATTTCCTTTGTAATGTTTCTCTACATATCCTCGCTTTCGAAGCACAGCTCGCACTATCGGGTATGGTCCATGACATATAAATACTTTCTTTTTCTGAAAGTAACAGATTGAAGAAATGAACACTTTTAGTGATGAGAATCTTACACATGAAGTAATCTACTGCATCTAAATTTATAGAAGAATTTACAAGGTCAGTGGGAATTCAGTGGGAATCTCTAACAGTCTGAAACCCTTTAACTGCCAGATCAAATTTGTCATTCTCCTTTCTGTCAACCATACAATTCTCATAGAGTTAGTTCAGAGAATTTAGTAATGGATTAACTAATTATTTATATTTTTCTTTATTCTCATCACTTATCTGGTTGATATTGTTTTGATATTTTAAGGAGAAATTCTCTCTTGGTAACTTATGGGTGTTAAAGGGTCAAATGTGTTCAAAGGTGTCAATTAAAGAGAAATTACCAATATAGCATCATGAAATCTGCCATAAATCCTTTACACCCTAACATCAATATGCATATTCTCCATACTGTCTTCTATAAATTTCCTAAGGTGGTGATAAGGAGAATTTGTTTGTGTTGTTGGGATCATTTCCTTTATTCTTGTTGTGTATGTGTGTGATTCAGGGATGCAGATATCGAGGAGAAATAAGATTCTAATCTTTCTTTTGAGCATTCATTATGGGAAGGGAGGGGAGGGGAGGGGGCAAATAGAGCTTATTAAATTAGCCATTTCCTGATTGGTCTTTTTCAAGGACCTTATAATCAAAAAATGTTGACAAACATCCCCAACACCTTTACAACATATGTTGAAATGCAACACATGATTATAAATTACAATTCAAAGTAGCATGGTACAAATCATACATGTGTGTATTTGATAAGGTTTTAAACACTCATCAAATACTCGCATGCATGATTTGTACCATGTAAACCGTTAACTAGACAAATGTCAATACCCAAAAATTTCCTATAAAAAATGATCAGATTCATATTACCTTTATAGCATTTTCTGCAACTTTTTTGGCATTTCTAACTTTGTCAAACAAAGGATCATCATAACTTTTTTTTCCTGGCTGTGAATTTGGTTGAGACCGACTCCTGGAGTGAGTAGTTTTTTGTTTTCCAGTAATCTCAACTTTTGTACTTTCATCCCAACCAGGGCTTTTGTTGTCACTTTCAACTGTAACTGGTTTTGCCAGGGGATGAGTCAGTGTTCTTTTGTGTGCTGCTTTCAAAACTTGCTTGCCCTTTTTCAGGTACAAATTTTCAAGGGACTGATTGTAGGGACTTGATTCTTGGAATTTTTGATATGCAGCATTAGCTCTATTTACAGCATTCTCTGAAATTTTTCCAGATGATTTTGTTTTCTTTGTGAGATCATGCGAAGACATAGATTTCAAGTCAGATTCTTTGGCAGATTGGTCCTGCAAACCTGTCAAGTTAGTTCCATCATGTTTGCTTTTGGTGGGAGTTGTTAGAAAATCAGGCGCTGAAGTTGATGCCAGCACTTCTGGAGATGTTATTAAACTCTCATCAGACAACTTCTGATCATCTTCCTGCACAGTTTTGACAAAATTTATCAATTAATCAACCAGCTTATCGGTTAATGATGAGCAATTCATCTTTCTCAGCTGCAGTGAGTAGCATAATTGAATGAAATCAGAAGAAAAAGGAGTAAGTGCTGTGTAAACATAAGTTGGGAGATGTGTCTATTGCTGAATTTTTCCTTCCATTGGGTTGGTGTCAGGCTATGTTGGTGTGGAAATAGGAGAGACGGTACCTTATAAATTCTTAATTTCTAGCTCAGGAAGCCAAATGTCTGACAGGGAAAAGAAGACAAAATTTCTTGAACTAACCTCTGCAGTCCTTGCTTCTTTAAATTTTGAAATCTTTTTCAATCTCGTTGGAGACCTGCTGGAAACTTTATCAGGAACTGGAGTGAACTTGTCTTTGGTTTGGTTCAAATTGTTGATTGTTGCTTCAATCTGTGAA